GGGCAGAAGCACCCATGCGCGTAGGGACAGCCGTCACCCTCTTCCCTCTAGGCGGGCAGACCCCTACCCAGCCTCACAGGTTTAGCTCAGGAGCCTGTACCAGCCCGGCCCCCGCCTACCACGCAGTCACACCTGGGCTCTCAGAAATGCCTCCTGTCCAGGAAGCTGGGCGTACACGGATCTGTCGAACGTGATTTCAGCCACACTCACCAGTGACACCTTCTTCTGCAGTGTCTGCAAAAGACGGGGCAAGGGGGCCGAGGAATTGGTCTGGGGGATGCTCAGAGACCCAGACATGTCCTGGCTTGAGGTTGGCTCAGACCCAGCAGGGGCGGCCTGAGTCTGGAGGAGGGCTCTCTGTGGGGCCTGCACACCTGGCTGACCCAGCCAAAGCTGAGGTTGCCCTTCAGGACGAAGTCGAGTTCCTCCTGGACGCCAAAGGATGGGATGTCACAGCGGAGCCTCAGGCAGGCAGCGATCGAACAGTCCTGGGGACAGAGTAGCAAGATGAGGCTGAAGGCAGAAGGTGGCATTAAGTGGTGCCACGTGAAGGCAGCAGCCACGACTGGAACCTGAGGCTGCTCAGCACGTGTCTGTTAGAATGGAGCACGATTCCTGAATCACTCCTCTCATGTGGGACTTCCGGGGGACAGCCCAGAGCCCTCCTCACCAGCACAGCATTCTTCTGAATGTGATTCAGGAAGTCGGACTCTGGGGGAGCTATTCTCTCTGAAGAGCACTGCATGGACGGGTTCTAGGAGACACAGAGGCCAAGCGTCCCAGCTGAGACATCAGGAAGTCATGAGAAGTGCAGGGAGTCCTGGAGGGTGTCAGCCCTGAGTACCTGGGGGCAGGAGACTTCCACCTGCATCCACACTGGCTCCTGGTGCAGCTCCATGGGCACCCAGAAGTAGATGCTGACGGGCAGGTCCCGCTGACCCAGGTTGTTCACCTGCATGAAGGGCAGTGAGGCCAGAGCCCACGCCAAAGCCCACGCCTCTCCCTACGCTCCAGTCCCAGGCCCCGCCCCAGCCCAGGCTCCCGCATCTCCACCCCTTGCCTGATATCTGTGCTGGGCCACACTGCTCTGCTGCTTCTCTGAGGCGGAGAAGTTGAGGTACTTGGTGGATTGCTCATGGCTGAGGAGAGAAGAGGCATGGTGAGTGTGGAGTCCCCGGAGCCTCCTGAGAAGGCTCTGGCTGCAACATGACAGGACAGGTGATCGGTGGGGCCTGGGGTGGCCTGGAATGAAGGCTTGGCTGAGTTGGGATAAGGAGGGTTTGGGGAGCATGGCTGGACTTAGAGATGGGTACAAGGTGCTTGCAGAAGCTGCCCATGGAGGAGACTGCTCAGGGCAGGACTGCAGGGAAGGGGACCAAGAGTTGCACTGCCGACCTCTAAGGTCTGCCCTTTCTACACCTCAGTTTCCCTTTCAGTCTTTCAGGAGCACATGGATGCTGGTGGGGACTGGTACACGGCAAAGGTTTGGGGAGACTCAAGCTGTTGGCCAAATGTCCCCTGAGCCTGGCCCCTTTCTGGTCTTCCCTGGCCTTCCCCAAGCCCCCCTCTCCCATTGTCTAGGACCTGCAGGTAATGGGAGGACCCAGCAGCAGATTCTTCACTGGACCCCAGTTCAATGAGACCTCCTGAGGCCTACTCAGGCCTAAGCCTGGAGACCCAGGGGCTAGCCTGGATCCTCACTTGGGTGGCTGCTCTCACTCGCCCTCACTGGTCCACTCCTTGGGTACCTGGTCCATGCCTGAATCGTCCAAATTCCAACCCAGCACTCCTGTGCCAAAGCCTTATTCCTCCTCCGTCAAGGGACTGCCCCTAGCCTGGCTCTGGGGGTACCGCTGCTCACAGGGTTGGTCACGTCTGAAGAGTGTGGCTAAGCTGTAACACCCCACTTGCCTGGAGGCAGAATGCTCTTCCTGTGAGTCCCCTGCAAAGAGGTGTGAGAGCCCTAGTGCACACCCTACAAACACGCTCAGAGCATGCACCTGGCTGGGAACCCCCAAATGTGCAGGTGCAAATATGAGTGTGAAGCTCTAGGCAGGAAGAGAACATCTAAAGAGCAAACCCCACAAGGGCTGAGGTTACTTTCTGGTTTGGATGTTATTTGGTCATTGGAAAAGTCATCATAAATTGTTCTGGTTTTCTATGCAAAAATGCATCATGACTTTTCTGAGGACCCAGTGGATAACGGGGGCCCCGTAAGTCTGTCGAGCGTTAAATGCGTTGGTGGGAAGGAGCACAGCCCTGCGCCCGGTGCACAGCACGTGCTGGGAAGGTGTCTGTGGGCAGCACTCAGCTCAGCGCTTTGCCTGGGGTTTCAAACACCTCATCTAACCCTCTTCAGGCAGTTTTTTGGGTTTTTTTTGAGAGATTTTTGCCATAGGGTGCATGTGCTTGCTGGAGAGACAGAGAGATAGAAAGAGAGAAATCATCCCCTGGGAGGGATGGCCATGCCTCAGTACCTTCTCCTGCATTCTTGTCTAGGGATTTTAGGCACACATGCATATGCACCTGGTGTGAGTTTCAAGCCACAGGATCCAAGGCTTAACTGTGGCCGACCACGTGGGAGTCCAGCAATGCAGCCACCGCACCATCTGCTGGTCCCCCTCCAGCAGCATTATAAGGCCCGGCCCACTTGTCCAGTTTCTGCCTGACACCCATCCTCTGCAGCAGGGGACTTATTCTATCTAGCTTCCCCAGAGGACTGAGGAGGGGGAAGCAGGTTCTAAAGCTCTGTAGAGAGAGGTCTGTTTCTCGCACAGAAGTGTGCTGCCCAAAGGCCGAGGGCCCCTTTGAAAGTCACTGCAGGCCAAGCCCGTGCAGGGCACCTTCAATGTCTAGCAGGCGCCTCCCCTTACAGGAAGCCCTGGCCCCCTCTTGGAAACCCACGTCTCCCCACAGTACAGGACCACAGAGAGGCCCTTGGTGAGACTTTGGTTTGGATCGAGGTAATTTTCCTTTCCAATAAGCCTGAAAGAATTCAAAGACGGGGGGACACGTCTTCAATCTCATAGGGACCCCATAGGGACCGAGAGAATCTTGAAGTTCTGAGACCTGTCGTTACTAGCAGAATTATTATGATCATAACTAGCCTGCAATAAACTTTCACTGGTGAGTAAACGCTTCGAGCAGTGTCATCTACCACTAGGGAGGGCGGCGATAAACTCTAAACTATCCAGATGTTCAGCTGCTGCAGGCGATGAGAACCGCCCTCTCTCCAGTCAGGGTGACGGAGAAGAACCCTTCTGAGATACCTGCTGATCACAGTGTAGACGGTGTACTTCACTGGGAGCTCCAGCTGGAAGGTGGTCTTGCTGGTCCTAGGCGTGTTATTGTCACTGGAGAAAGAGGAGAGGCCCAGTAGCCAAGGACCTCAGAGGAGGCAGGTGGGGTGCAAGGCAGGAGGTGAGGGGACGCTGGCCCTGGGCCTGGCCCGGCTCACCTGCTCACATTGGCTGTCAGAAGCAGCCGGTCTCCCAGCACAGCCCTGGGGGAGACATCAAAGGTAGCCAAGAAGGTGATCTGAGGAAGAGGCAGGGACAGGGGTGGTCACGAAGAGGTGAGACAGGCTGGGGCAGGGGAGTCGAGGTGGGTAGGAGCCAGCTGACCTGGGCGCCCCCACGGAAGATGAGGTGGTTGCTGCTACAGCTGGTGGTCCAGGTGTCCTGGCTCCCAGCTGGCACGCTGTCACACGTCAGGCGTGGGGAGTGCAGCTGCAGCTGGTTCTAGGCAAAGGCAGGTGAGGGTTTGTTAGCGGCCCAAAGACACTTCTTACGGTTTCACAGAATCTAGCTTAAAGGTCGTGGTTTTTTGTTTGTTTTGAAAGGTTTTTGCCTTAGGGTGCGTGCACTCACTGGAGAGAGAGAGACAGAGTCAGTGAGAAGGGAAGTGAGAAAGGACCCCCCAGGGGTCTGGCCACACTGCAATCCCTTCTCCTCCTGGGATCCTGGGCATGCACACACAAGAGCCCAATGTGAGTTTCAAGCCACAGGGTCTGGGACTAAAACCATGGTTGACGGTGTGGGAGTCCAGCGACATGTCCACCACGCCCTCTGCTGGTCATGTTTTTAAAAGAGCCTTGGACACTATCTGGTCAAACCCAAAACAGATATCTCAAAATTCATTAGAGCCGTCCCCTTTTTATTTATTGTGTGTATTTTTGTTTGTTTGGTTGGTTTTAGGTTTTTGCCCTAAGGTGTGGGCACTCCAGAGAGAGATAGAGAGAAAGTGAGACATCTACTATCCAGGAGGGATGGCCATGCCTCAATCCCTTCTCCATTTTCTTCTTGGGATTTGAGGCATGCACGCACACACACCTGGCATGATTTTCAAGCCACCGGCTCTGGGCCTCGAACCGCTGGTTGGCCACTATTTATTGTTATTTTAAATCTTTGTTAAACATTGAGTGCATGGTGGAAAGTAGCAAAGTGCCATGTCTGGCACATAGCACACGCCGGGAAGGTGTTTGTTACGGAAACTTTTAAACATACTCAAGAGTAGAGGTGAGAAAGTTAATCCCCATGTGTCCATTGCTCAATTTAAGTTACCAACTGTTTTTTTTTTTTTTTATAGGTTTTTGCTATAGGGCATGTGCACTCATCAGAAAGAAAGAGACAGAGAGAGAGAAAGCAAGAAATCATCCCCCAGGGCGCATGGGCATGCCACAATCCCTTCTCCTCCATTCTCTTCTTGGGATCTTGGGCATGCATGCACATGCACTGGCATGAGTTTAAGCCACCGGGTCTGGGACTCGAACTGTGGTCGACTACATGGGAGTCCAGCGACATAGCCATTACACTAACTGCTGGTACCATAGTTACCAACTTTTTTTTTTTTTTCACTTGACAGAAAGTGCATGCATTCTCCAGAGAGACACAGAGAGAAAGAAAGCACCCCCGAATCAGGCATGACCATGAGCCTGGCATGTTTTCCAAGTCCTTGAGGCTAGGATGCAGGCCATGGTTGTCCATGTATGATCTTAACCACGGCTACAGGGCCAGCCCAAATTATCAACATCCTTTTTTCTGTGTAATTAGAAGCACACTGCAGACATGTTTCATGCAGAAATATTTCAGTGTGTACCACCAAATGATAAGACTATGTTTTTTTTTAAGTTTGCTATAGGGCACATTTGCTCACCTGAGAGAGATGAGAGAAAGAGAGGAGAGAGAGAGAGAGAAAGTGAGAAAGCAAGCCATCAGATCCAGGATTTGAACCACGTCCAGCACCTTAACCACCTTTCCACCTGCTGGTCCCTGATAAGACTACCTTTTAACATAACCACAGGCCTGACATATCACACCCAACAAAATTAACAATAACTCTTTAATATGTCAGTCATCATTCTTCTCGATTGTCTCAAAAATGTATCTTACAGGTAAGTAAATTTGACTTGTGAAAATCAATCTCAGGGGCCAGCAGGTGGCATGGTGGTTAAGGCGCTAGACTCCCACGTGGCTGACTATGGTTTGAGTCCCAGGCCCAGTGGCTTGAAAATCACACTGGGTGCGTGTGCGTGTGTGCCTAAAATCCCAAGAGGAGAATGGAGAAGAAGGGATTGTGGTGTGGCCATCATCCCTGGGGGGGGG